GGGAACACCTACCTTTGACAATCTGCTTGGCACAGGCATTATAAACTTGCTCCTGGGTTGTGTTAGGAGGTAAAACCCTGTCAAAGACGTAGGGCTTCCCTTGCTGCAAACAGAGGAGAAACTCCATGAGAAAAAGAACATTTCATGCACTTTACCATGCTGGTTGAACAGCCTGAAATGCAGAATTTCCCACTGAGGAAATGCTCTCGTGCAGTGCATTCTGTGGGCTGAGCAGATGTGATATTTTGGCTGCTCCAAACCCAGTTTTTTTCTAAAAAATAAAATAAAATAAAATAAAATTGGCTGGCAAATAAAAGGTGGCATATGTTCCCTGTGTGCTCACATCGGGGTCACAGCCATGGATGTGGGACACAATCAGCCAGAACAGCAGCTGGGTATTTCCTTCCTACTCCTGGGAATTATGGGGGAATAGTCATTAAATACTGGGAGAAAAAACATGTAAATATTGGGGAATAATCCTGTAAATATTGGGGAATAATCCGGTAAATACTGGGGGGAAAACCATGTAAATATTGGGGAATAATCCTGTAAATATTGGGGAACAATCCTGTAAATACTGGGGGAATAACACTGTAAATATTGGGGGGAAATTCTGCAAACATTGGGGAATAATCCTGTAAATATTGGGGGAAAAATAAAGTAAATATTGGGGGAAAAATCCTGAATATATTGGGGGAAAAACCATGTAAATATTGGGGAACAATCCTGTAAATATTGGGGGGAAATCCTGTAAATATGGGGGGAATAATCCTGTAAATATTGGTGAAGAGTTAGGCAAATATTGGGGAAATATCCATATAAATATCAGAGGATTAACCCTGTAATATTGGGGAAATCAGCCTGTAAATATTGGGGGAATAACCCTGTAAATATCAAGGGAATCATCCTGTAAATATTGAGAGAATTATAAATACTGGGGGAATAGCCATGAAAATCTTGGGGCAATGACCCTGTAAATATTGAGAGAATTATAAATACTGGGGGAACAGCCATGAAAATCTTGGGGCAATGACCCTGTAAATATTGAGAGAATTATAAATACTGGGGGAATAGCCATGAAAATCTTGGGGCAATGACCCTGTAAATATTTGCAGAAGCTTTGCTGTTCACTCCCACAAACCAGTGAGAGCTGAGCTGTAAGAAAATCCCAGAGCTGAGAGAAAATCAAGTTTGCAGGTCCTGACTCCTGCTGAGCCCAAGGTGACCCAGAATTGTCCCAGCACAGTCCCAGCACCCTGCTGGTTTCATTTCCATGCTGGACACACAACTGTGGCACCGAAAGCTTTGGAGCCAAAGCAGGCAGCCCATCCCAGCTGGGCACCCTCAGCTTGGATTTTATTCCAAAATCGCTGGGGTTTTCATCCTCAGTGCCCTGATGTTGTGTGGGAAGTGCTCCCCAGTGACATTTTGGGTGGGACTGGTGCCACCCCTGAGCTCCCTGATTCCCAGGTGCTGCCAGGACTGACATTCCCACATGGATACACCGCGTAGCGCTCCCGGAAAACCTCGATGCTGTCATTGCTTACAAGCCAAACACGCACACCACCTAAAAACAGCTTTGTGTGACACTTCAAAGGGCAAGCAATCCTTCAGCCAGAGCTCTGCTCCCCCCAGCCCCATCCCCAGCACGACATTGGTGTTTAAAACACGAATCCTGAACCCAGAAACGGCTCCTTCCCATCTCCCACCGAAGCTCTCGGTGCTCCCCCTTTCCCAGACACCGCTAACGAGGTCCCCAGAGCTGGGGAGGTGGCTGGAACCCAATTCCAGCTCTGGGAGGTGCCACCAGTGCCACTGGCAGCAGCTGATCCAAGGTTCTGCTCCATTAACCACATTTGTCACGTTTTGATTCCATTTTGGGAGCTTCCACCCTGCCGCTCCTCCAGCCCGGGGAAAGGAGGCAGGGAGGGCTCTGCCTGTGGTGGGTGCTCCTGTTTCACCCGGGCTTTTGGAGATCCAGGATGAGAAGGCCATTGCCAGGTGCTTTAGGATGTAATTCCTGGGTTTTACAAGCGCCCCTTTGGAAGACCTGAGCCTGGCGAGGTGACTCCCGATTCCAGATCTTCCCCCACACAACTCCACTCCCAGGAAATTGGGGGGACCAGCCAGCCCCAACCCCAAATTCTGTCTCTCCACGGCTTCCCACACCGGGATGCTCCAGCCAGCCAAAGCTCTGCACTCCCAGCACGAGCAGGGCTGCCCAAATATTCCAGAACCACTTCCCAGAGTCTCAGAATTTTCCCTCTTTACCCCCATTTCGCTCATCCAAGCTCCAGGCAGCAAGGCCAAAGATCCCACAGCTACTCAAACATCCATTAAATTTAATTCCCTTCAGAGCTGAGGCTCTGACAGCTGCCAGTGCCTCATCCCAGGGCAAACCCTGCTCAATCCAGCCCTCGCTCAGAGCATCCCACGCCTGGAGAGAGCCTCAAAAAGGAGCAATTCCATCCCAATTGTGCCCCAGGCACTGCCCATGAGTGGGGTTTTATTTGCCCCAGGCTGCAAAGCTGCAAATGTAAAAACACTGACCCAGAAACGTGCTCCACAGGTGAGGTTTCCTCCTCAGGGGTTTGGTTTGGGAGGCTGGAAACATCTGAAGGAAATACAGGAATGTGGGGGATCACAGAGCATCTGACTGCACAAAATGTGGGGTTTTGGGGAGGGCTTTTGGGCTTTAAATCCACGCTGATCCTCATTCTTTGTCCAGGAGTTCTTGGTTGGATCCCTGATGTTGGAGAAATGTTGGGATTTTCCTGTGTCACCCCAGCCCAGCCTTCCTGCTGTGCCCCCTGCTCCTCACTGCCACATCCACACAGCTTTTTTGGGGTTTGTTTGTGTTATTATTGTAATTCCCTAAATTTCTGACTGGTTTTTCTCAAAGACAACAAAAGTCACATCCCCCCTGCAAAGGCAGCACCCTCCAGATCCAAAGGGTTTGTCCCAAAACAGAAGGGAGGGACCACAAAAATCCCAATTTCCAGCGTGTTCCCTATTTCCTTTCTCCCTGTTGTCACCTTCAGAAGTGACACAACTGCTTTCATTTTCATTTTTCCAAATGTAACTCATCCTGCATTAAATACCAAAATCAGGAAGTAATTCAAGCAATAAACAAGCCAGAAATAAAAATGTTCTTTTCTGAGCCATGCCAACGATTTTCTCTGTGCACCTCCATCTATTATTTTCCAAACTTTCTCCTGACACTCAGTGTATTATCTGCCATCCATAAATCACATTTCCCTTCCTCCCAGCAGTCCCCCTGACAATCTGTTCCATTAACTTGTGCCACTGCTGCATAATGGCTGGGATAAGTGCTCTGATCCACCCACACAATTCCTGCTCAAGTTGTATTGACAGCCAGAGAGATTCTGCTCTGGGCCCTGGATACCACCAGGAATTCTATTCAGGCATATTGATAATTGTTATTTCACTTCTTTGGTTTCCTATTGGGTATAAAGGCATTTAAGAATAGAATAGAATAGAATAGAATAGAATAGAATAGAATAGAATAGAATAGAATAGAATAGATAAAATAATAAAAAATAAAATAAAATATATAATATAAAATAAAACATAATATAAAATAAAATATAACATAATATAGAATAGAATAAAATAGACTAGAATAAAATAGAATAAAATAAAATAAAAAATAAAATAGACTAGAATAAAATAGAATAAAATAAAATAGAATAATAAAAAATAAAAAATAAAATAAAATAAAACATAATATAAAATATAACATAATATAAAATAAAATATAAAACATAATATAAAATATAACATAATATAAAATAAAATATAAAATAAAATATAACATAATATAGAATAGAATAAAGTAGAATAAAATGGAATAAAATAGAATAAAATAGAATAAAATAAAATAGAATAAAATACAATAAAATAGAATAAAATAAAATAGAATAGAATAAAATAGAATAAAATAAAATAATAAAATAAAATAAAATAAATTTCACAAGCACAAAAAGGATTTTCACCATAAATCCCAAATTTACCAAAGCAACATCTCAAAGCAGCGCTGTCACCAGAAGCTACTGCAGTCTCAGTTAAAGAAATTAAAGACAACCAAATGCATTTGCTGGTTTGATAAATAAATAAATCAACCTCAGCTCCCCTGAATTGCCCAGAGAGAGGCAATGAGGAGAGCCCAGTGCTCAGAGCTGCCTGCTAAGGGTGAGAATTCCTAAAGGAATTCCAGGATAAATCCCCTGTGAGCCTCAGGGTGGATTCCCAGGTTGGGATGTGAAGGGAGGTGAGAATTCACCTTCAGGCATCTGAATCCAGATCCCAGATCCATCCCCTCCCACAAAAAAAAACCTTATAAAAACCATGGGCAAGGGGAGATGGCTCAGAACAGAATTCCCAACTTCTTGAGCAGAAATTATCAACAAAATGCTGGGTTTCTTTGATTTTGGAGGGCTGGGAGGAGGCATTTGAGTGTGATGAGGGATTCCAGCCTGAAACCATGCCCCAGAATCAGATTCTCACAGGTCACAGGGGCACAGAGGCAGCAGGGGGACCCCGAGAAGGTTCCCAGAGCAGCTGGGGCTGTCCCTGGATCCCTGGAATGTCCAAGGCCAGGTTGGATGGGGTTTGGAGCAGCCTGGGACAGGGAAAGGTGTCCCTGGATAGGATTTAAAGTCCCTCCAACCCCAAAACAGTCTGGGCTGCTCTGAGCCATGGCAGGATCACACAGGATCAGAGGATGGAGAGTCAGGGGTGATCTGAGGAGAACCAACAGGGGGTGAAAAGCCTCAGCTCTCAGCAGCTGCTGCTCTGGCCATGGCCCATCAGCACAGTCCCAACCTCTCCCAAAATTCCTTCCCAACTCCTTTTCCAGGTTCAGGGGCTCACTCCATGTGCGTCTGTGCCCCACCAAAGTGTGGCTGAAGGTCACAAAGTCCCCGTGCCCCAGGTCACAAAGCCCCTGTGCCCACCCTGGAGATGCCAGGAGCTTTGGGAGGGCACCAGGAGGGTTTTTTTCCCCACTGCCTGCATCCCCTTTGATCATAAATAAATAAAAAGCTTTACCCTCTGAGCCGTTGGTTGCTCCCAAACACCTTTCCCCCTAAAAGGGAATAATTCCTTCCTGAGTTTTCCCCACCTTTTCCCCCGTGGCACTCACCCCGAGAGCCTTCCCTATCTTCCAGAATGGTCCCTGTCAATCTCCCTCTTGTCCAATCACCCCAGGTTCCCAGTATTCATCAATGTAATCCTTGCCCTATATTCCAGACCTTTCCTTGAACCATCAATGTGAACCCTGCTCCATATTCCAGACCTTTCCCTGTCCATCAGTGTTATCCCTGCTCCATATTCCATTCCCTTCCCTGTCCTTTGGGCTTTAAATCCACACTGATCCTCATTCTTTGTCCAGGAGTTCCTGGTTGGATCCCTGATGTTGGAGAAATGTTATCCCTGCCCTTTATTCCAGACCTCTCCTTGAACCATCAATGTAATTCCTGCCCTTTATTCCAGACCTCTCCTTGAACCATCAATGTAATTCCTGCCCTTTATTCCAGACCTTTCCTTGCCCATCAATGTAATTCCTGCCCTTTATTCCATTCCCTTCCCTGTCCATCAATGTTATCCCTGCCCCATATTCCATTCCCTTCCCTGTCCATCTCCCAAGCTTTGAGGCCCCGCTGGTCTGTAGGACTGATCCTCTCCACCCCCCTCACCCCGGTTGGTCCCGGTGTTGTTACCCCCTGCCCCTGTTCCTCCCTCTTGGCCTCACCACTGGTTGATGTTTGTACCCCCCTCTTGCTCCTCCCCTGTGTATAACCTGCTGTAGCCCTGGATCTTTGGTGTTTTGGGTCCTTGATCCCCCTGGGGGTTAAAGTTCTCTGGGATTCACACCAAAGGCTCCTCTCCATCCTTTACCCCTGTCCTTCCCCTACCATCAGAAGCGTGTGCCAGCCTGACCACACAACTGTACCCCTGGGTCGGTGGCTTTTGGGGGACAGCCCACACATCTGCCCTGCTGGGGTCTCACCTGGGCTACCCAAACTCCAGCACAGCAACATCTCTGCTCAGGCCAGGGGGTGCAGCTGGGATGAGCTCAGAGAGGAATTCTCACACCTCACACCCCAAATTGACACCAGCACAGAGGACACGGCGCAGGTAACGAGACCACGCCACCTGGAGCGCTTTAATTAACGGAGAATTATTTCCCAGATAGTTCCCAGCACCCTGAGTGCTCTTGGAGGAGAGGGTTGATAAATAAAAGATGGGAAATTGCAGGCCTGGAGGACAGAATCTTGCAGAGCAAACTCTCACAGGCAGCAGAGGGATGGGGCAGTCGAGGCACGGAGCTGCTCCCTCAGAAGGAGGAATAAAACCCATTCCAGGGATTCAAGAGCAGGGATTAAAACCTTCTCTCCCTTTGAAAACAGAGAGGCCACGTTTGCTGAAGGCTCCCTCCATTCCCAAGGGGGATAAATGGCTGGCCCTGCAAATTCCTCCTGGAATTCAGGAGAACTTTTAGGTGGAAGGAATTCCTTTCCCCACAGGGATGCTGCAGCCATGAGGTTGTTGCTGTTTTGCTGGTGAAGCCCAAGAAATCAGCAGGATCTGTCCCATTCTCCTGAAGCCATTTATCTCTGCTGAGAATTGAAAATGTGGTTTAAAACAAATGGAGAAAATAAAAGTAAAACAGCAATATTCAGCTGTACTGACTCAGGAAATGCTGCTGCCATCCCAAACCCTCTTTTTATGTCAGACTGCCCTATAAAAACATTGGGTGGAAATCACCCAGTGGGTGAAAATTCAGAATCCCTGGGTGAGAAAAGAATAAGGAAATTTATTCAGAATAACCTGAATATGGAACAGAGTCAAACCAAAGGGTCAAAAAAAAACTCCAAAAAAACCCCAAAAAAATCCTTAAATCTTGGTAATATCCCTTAAAACTCCTTTGGAAAAGAAATGAAACCCAGCAGCCCTGGATGAGCAGGCACTGCAGAGAAACTGGAGTCAGACCCAGCATTAGTTTTGCAGAGGGGGCTTAATTATTGATTTACCTAATGAATATTTCTGTGGAGCTGATGGGAGTTTGGCTCATGGCCAGTGATTCATTTTCAGCTCTCAGTGCCAGCAGAAAGAACTTTTAACTCCTTGCAACAAATCTTCCACCTCAGAAAGCATTGTTTTATTTTTATCTGCAATTCAGGAAATCAAACCCTGGGAATTATTTTATTCATCCACCTTGATTCACGACCTGGGAAAAAAAAAAATAAAATATT